TGAGTGAGGCGTGTTGTCAAAGAGGCAGAATGACTTTGACTAAAACAGACATTTATTGTCATTTTGTATATAGAGAATGTATGCAAAGCGAAATTTCATTTTGTACAGCTCTCATGATGTTTCCATGTCTTTAAGTGCAGCAGTGATCAGATGTAAAAATTGTAGGAGAAAAAACACAGTGCAAAAAAAAGAAACCTATTGATATGGTCAGTTTGATGCAGAGTCTGTGACATGATTTAGAGTTTTTGTAATGACAGCTATATCAGAGAATATCTAATATTTATATAAATATCTAAAGTATTTAAAAGGTCCTGTTAAAATATGCAAAATATATAATTACAATCAAAATTTAAAAAACAACTTAACATTAAGAAAGCTAATCACAAAGTACTGTTTAAAATGAGGGGCCACCTACTGCAACGTGATAATCAATTTTTCTGCCTTACAGATAGTTTTAGTTTTCTTTTTTTTATGTCAAACTTGAAATGCTTTAGATCATCAAACAAATTAATTTCCGACAAAAATAACCTAAGTAAATAGAAAAAAGAAAAGAAATATAAAAAAAAGGCAAAGGGATATCCTAACCACCACCATTAACATCAACAGCTATCAACACATTGTGATAATCAGGAATAGAATGAATAAATCACTGTGCAGAAGATTTTGCCTTCTCTTTCATTAACCAGTGTGGAACATGTTAGGACATGAATTGCTTAACTCAGTCTAATTAAAGTTAAGACTGTTATGTCAGGGATGAACTCCATGTTTGCTTTGGATCAACCCAAATGAGATCAATCTTAAGTTCACAAATGGATAGACGGCCCTCCTCCTTCAGGAAGTTAGAGCAGAACTTCTGCTGGTCTCATGATGACAATTCATCAAACTATAGAAGAACCGAAGCGGCTTAAAGCTGCTACTGTACCATATTTCTCTGCTCCTGTTCTCTTTCTAAATTGCTGCATTTGTTTGCAGACATATAACAGGACTAACACCTTCCAGAAAGTTCCACCGAATATTTTCCCAAAAATCTGAGGGATCGTAGTCTGTTATAGTTTTCATCAAGGAGCTCTTAATTACAACTAAGTCCTGATTTTTGAATTTTTGAAAAGCAATATCTGACTTTTGTTACTTTTTTTTAAAGTCAGGTTATTTTTGTGAGTTTTGCAATATACCGGTATATATATATATATATATATATATATATATATATATATATATATATATATATATATATATATATATATATATATATATATATATATATATATATATATATATATATATATATATATATATATATATATATATATATATATATATATATATATATGTGTGTGTGTGTGTGTGTGTATATATAGATTAGTTAAAATAAACTACTATCACAGAGTGTGGAAGGTGTGGAAAGCACTTTACACAACCTGAAGGAAAGAGCCTGTCATATACATCCAAAATTTCAGTTTTTCATCCCAGATGATTCTGCAGCATTAATAGAATTCAAGAATGTGTTTCAGTGCAAGCTACGCTAACCTGCTCAGACATGCTACATGTATAACATTCCAGCCACAGCAGTGCATTTACCTCAGCCAGGTGGAAGAAAGTTAAAGAGGGGAATGGGTTTTTGAGGTGGCATTGGATAAATATTTTTAAAGATTCAAATTTATTTCTAAGAGTCTGTTTAACAATGTGGAGCAGCACCAGATGCAGAAACAAAGCAGATGATAGAGCAAAGTACTGCCAAGCTGTAAAAGCTATGGGCAGATTGTACTCAGAGCTTCTTCTAAATAGAAGTCTGAAACTCATTTTGCTACTACATGTTGATCTGTCACATAACAAAGTAACAACATGCATGCAATATGTTGGTTTAAATCATTAAAGGAAAGTTCCAAGAGGTGCTCCCTTTAAACTATGCAATCTAGAACATGGGTAACATTGACCCTGCCTGAGAAATGGAAGACCTTAAATCAAAGTTTTGACAACAAGCATATCATACAGCTGAAAAGATAAAGGTGGGGAATGTTTGCCTTCCGACATGATAGGAAACAGAATTAACATTCTGCTCTGTCTGGAATGAAGGGAAGCATATGGAGACTCTTTTTTAAATTTCTTTTAAGAACAGCCAGTTAATGTAAAAGAATAACATAAAGAATTTAGTCAAAACTCTTCTTGGACATTCTCACTAGATGAATGTAAGATTAGTTCAGTGCTTCCTTTTATTTCCACTGCAGATTAAAAATATTATATTCCTGTATCTTATCAGACTGATTCATGGAACAGATCTATCCTCTACTGTATTGTCCAAATAAAAGATGGCTGGGAGTTGTTGTGTAAACACAGTTTTGTCTGCTTGCCTGAATGATAGCAGCAGAGGTCAAGTTGAAGCCAAAGAGTTATAATAACCAGTTTTAACTATTTAAAGAATTGGTTTCTCAGCATTTCATGCTTTGAATATAACTTTTTTCACTGTTTTATTATTGGCATGTTGCAAGGGCACAGAATCCAGACGTTTTCTAACTATGGGCCGGCTGTGCTGGGCGATAATGCTGCTTTTGTTGAAGAATTACATAATTCTCTTAGAAAGCAAATTGCAGTGAGCCTGCAGTGATGCATACTCGCTATTTAAGGGCTTAAGGGTCCACTGAAAATACTCGGTTATCGCATGTTTTACATACATGGGTCGACCTGCTAACAATCAGCATTTGGCTCCCTTCCCTTTGGCAAAAAAAGCTGTGTCTAACCCCTAAGCTGACAAGCTATATGGCCCTTGTTCCCCCATGACTGCGTGTCTGATGACACCATCACGCTGGGTTAGCGCTGATGATGTCACAAGTGCGAAAGAAATCAGGAAAGTAAACAATGGAGAGCAATATGTAAGGAAGCCACGGCTTAGTTAATGTGCCTTATTGTTTCTCTCTTGTATCTGTCCAAAACCCCTTACCAGTGCTGCGCCATGTTTATCAAATATAAACAGGGTTGTTTCAGCTTTTTAGATCAGACAGGGCTGGCGCGGATTGTTGACGTTAATCTCAATGGTTTCAATTATGCACAGCAATTTTTTTACACTGAAACAAAACTTAATTGACTATTTACAAAAAATGTGCATTAGGATGGCTTGAGCCCATGTGCTTGGTTCCAGGACAATATGAAACTAGGGGGCGCCACGCTATAATCAGAAGAAATTCATAGAGCGAAAATGCCTAAAGGGCTTTCCAGCAAACTTGGTAGTTATCTTCAGGATGCAATCTCTAACTTATACTATTATTATAGTAATGATTGATCAAAGTGAGCAGGGCTTATGCTTCAAAATGTACAGCTGACCTTTCATTTTCTTTTTTTTAATTGGAGAAGCTAAAGATTCTAAATATGAATATTATGGGATGAATGTAGATAAACAGATTTTAAGGATTTTTTTCATCAGCATTGCTTATATATACAAATAGAGGAATACTATATTTTTTATCACATAATTATGACATTTAGAATAGAAGAGAAGAGAACAGAAAAGAAAAACCCGTTATTGTCCCACAATGGGGAAATTCTTGTGTTACAGCAGCAAAAAGATTATAGAAAAAAATGGTCACTCAAATGTTAACCTTAGAAAAATATATAAGAATAACATAATAGTGAAGAGTTAAAAGATCAACAATAAAAGACTGTACTGTAAGGTGTTTTAACAATACACTAAATAAACGGTGCACCTGGAGAATAAATGACCCACATACAGCTATGGACATTTTTATAGTAATGGATATTTGAAAGTAGCAGCAACATCAGAGATGTGTAAAATTGGCATGGGACTTTACCAATATGACTTTGTTCCTAATATCTAATACATTGGTATGTGAGATTTTTTTTTTTTTTTTTTTTTGATAGACTAAGTATTTATTCTGAACATTACTTAAAACTTCTGATGGTAAACTTTTTTATTGGGAAAGCCTTTTTATCCAGTGACCAGGTAAATAGTTTTGGTAATTTTATGATGAATAATTTATTTTTCACAAGTTTTTGAATATCAACCAGGTATCACTGAAAATATATTCAAGTGTATTTATTCAGAAAAAGTTTATATTCCTGGGACCTGACTAAACACTTATAGTGCTGCTAGTAAAGAGTCCTAGTCCTTCAACTAGTAGTTAGGAAATTATTTGATGAAATATGTATTTTTTAATTAATTTCACTGTTGTGGTCTGGATTCACACCTACTTATTATACTGAGTTTTCTCCTTCTTTTCTAAAGGTTAGGGACATGATTAAAAAATGCATTTTTTTGCAGATATATTGCTGATCAAGAGATAGTATTTCAGGAATGATTTCATAAAGCATGCATTTTTACTTATACTCCTGACATCTCTAAATACACTTATAGTATTTCTTATTTTTTCCTAGTAATCTGAAAACTAATTGGGAGTTTTATCATTAAATACAGATGTTTAATAAATGTCCATATCCCATTCTTTGTTTTTTTGCATTTAGGTAGATGTTTAATAAATTTCCATATCCCATGTTTAGTTATAGGCCAATTCTTCACAAACAATTTTTCAGTTACTAAGAAAATAATACATTTAGGGACATGATGAAATCTTTATATAAATGATTGCAGACATGGTTGTGGTTAACGAAGAATATTTTGAGAGTATTTCGAAAAACTATGTATTTGTAATAATTTCTTAATATTTGCCTGGTACACAACATGGTTTTGGTCAATAAAGAAAATAATGGAAATTTCTTGATACAGTTAATTTATCTATTTTTTTGTTTTTGTTTTGTTTTTTACTGTGTGATATATTAAAAGTGTGTGATATATCGTCATTGTGCGTTAACAATATGAATAATTTATAGTTGAAAGCTTTTTCATATATAGTTTTTAAGAAAATTGCCCATGTAAAGTATTCATTTTGAGGGACTCAAGTTAAAACCAACAAAGATTAATTGCATTCTAGTTTACTCTCGCACCTGCTGCCCGTGGGGCGTTGGGAGGATTTTTGTCCCCTGCGAATATCCGTACCAAGGCACCGGAAGTGAGGCAGTGCGGTTGGTTATGTTTGAGGGAGTATTTCGCGGGAGTTTATCTGCAGACGGCTACTTGTCAACACTGACGTTACATTTCAAAGCACACTTTTTTACACAATGAGTTTGTGGCTTGATAAATACCGACCGACGTCCCTTGGAAAGCTGGACTATCACAAGGAACAAGCGGCTGAGTTAAAAAACCTGGTAAAGCAGCTAACTGTTATCCTGAGGCTAGCTTTAGCATCAAGCTACTATTAAGGCACATCAAATATCCTCTTAGGTTGGTCAGGGTTCACTTTCATCTATGAAATATTGGTGGAATTTAACTTTGTGTCTAATATTCTTATTCCCCCCCGCGATTTGTTCAGGTCTTTAAAGTTTTGAAGCTATTGACCAGATTTCTCAGCTAAATCAGTCAAGCTTACTTTATATCTGTTAGCATTATGTCATGCTCAGTTGCTCAGTTTAATTTGTTTATTTTAGTTTTCAAATCAAGAATTTTTTTACGTGAAAGGCTTCATTATCATTATTTGCTTCATTATCTATCTGCGTATTTTTTTTGTTGTAAATTATATAGGAAGAGTTCCTTTGCAAAAACAGAAAAAACTGTTCTTTTTGAAAATTTATAAAAACAGAGTTTTCTGTTTTTTGTAAATGGTAAATGAACTCTTCATATGTACAACTGAATAAAATCTCACCACTAGATGGTCTATCCAATGTTTTTAGCATTAATTCTACTTTTTTAATAAAATAAATTTTAGAAATTGCTGTTAATATGTATGTTTAACATGATATGTAATTATTTCTTTAAATACTTTATACAATTATTGTTAAAATAATAAAGTGTAAAAGTCACCTGAAGGTTTAGAAGCTCAGTTTTGATGCCATGGATGTGGTCTCTGTCTGCATCGTTTCTGATTCATTAAAATATAGTTTACCAGCAGAAACAAATTATTCTCTGTTTATTTGTTCCAGGTTCAATGCGGCGACTTTCCTCACTTATTGGTCTACGGACCATCAGGAGCGGGGAAGAAGACCCGCATCATGTGTTTGCTGAGAGAGCTGTACGGACCAGGAGTGGAGAAGCTTCGCATAGAGCATCAAACTGTTGTGGTGAGAGGAGGACGAAGCAAACAAACAAAAACAGAATAACAAAAGCTTATTATCTTTCAAAATATACAGTATATGTTCTAGTCTTAAGAGCATGGAAGTGTTGGTAACATCCAAATGTACTGATCTGGTGCTGTGATCTAATTCTTTTGGTAGTATTTAAGAATATCCAAAATATCCATTATTGGCCATAAAGGCAATATGTTTTAGTATTGATGATGATGAGTCCTTTCAGCTGCTTCCCTATCCTGATGCAACTAGGAATCAAACCAGGGTCCCCAACATCACAGTCGGACTGTACAACATATTAAATGTTAATATCTGCCAAAGTGTTCATATGTTTATCATTAATCCTTAATATATTTAATATAATCCTCTGGTCCTGATCATCTTACATGTTCAACAGCATGCTTCAAAATGATGCGGGGTGAAAAAAATACGTTACAGCTATTAAAACCGAGATAAAGATGTATATTTGTAATGTTTGTGAAGTCCCCACATATGTTACTATTTAAAATGGGTAAAAAAGAGGTCTGATGGATACTGTTAAACAAAATAAGGAAGTCAATGTGCACAGCTATGAAGAAACACTACACTGTTTAGATAACCAGCACTGTAGTTTCTAAGGTTTAATATGGACAAAAATAGTGAGTTTTAACTGGATACTCTTCTCTAACCTCTCTCTGTTTTTTTGCTACAGGCTCCATCAAAGAAGAAGATTGAGATCAACACAATAGCTAGCAACTATCACTTAGAGGTCAACCCGAGGTAACATGAAATTGCATATGGTTTAAGTTTTCTCCAGGTGATATTTCTTTTCAAAGCCTTCCTGCTCCAACTTTATAATTTCCTGTGAATATGAAATAAGCAATTAGAGCAGCCTTAACATTGTGTAAAGCATTTTATCTGCATGTTGTTTAGTGATGCAGGAAACCAGGACCGTGTGGTGATTCAGGAGCTGATTAAAACTATGGCCCAGTCCCAGCAGATCCAGTCTAGCACCCAGAAAGAGTTCAAAGGTAGAGAGAGGACAAACATGGCTTTGCTGGTTTACTCTAAGGAATGCCGTTCATGTTACAGAATAACACAAATGACCAATAATAGAATCTGTTTTTATTGCCTTTGGAAAAGCCTGTCCTAAAGTATGTTTTTTTTTTTTTTTTTCTTCCAGTGGTGCTTCTAACAGAGGTAGACAGACTCACTAAAGATGCCCAGCATGCTTTGCGTCGCACAATGGAAAAGTATATGAGCACTTGCCGCCTCATCCTCTGCTCCACGTCCACCTCTAAAGTCATCGGACCGATCCAGAGCCGATGTCTGGCTATCAGAGTTCCTCTTCCGAGCACAGAGGAGGTAAAAACAAGCTTAGAGGGGAAGAAAAGGTCATTGTAGATAATATCTGCTCTTTACCAGGAGTTGAATATTTAGATTTCACCTGAAACATTGAAACCAAAATGGAGGTTTTGTCTAAAACTATAAGCACATGACAAACAAGAAATATGTATTTTTAAAACATTTTTTTTGTGGAAAAAAAATGCTTCTCTTAACGTGATGTTCCAAAAATATTAGCAACCTGTAATACTGTAATTAGCTGGACTGGAGTAAAAAAAATAGTTCTTTGGCCTGTAAAGGTTGCAGAGTCATTTTAAACTATGTTTGAAAACCGAACATATTTTCTAGAATATTACTTTTACAAACACTTTTTAAAGATGTGATCACTGTTACAACTTGGACTTCTCTTTCCCCTTTAAACCCCATAGAAGCAGTGGGGTATACTTAGTCACAGATTGATAATTTATATTTGATCAATAATCGCATCTGTAATCTGATATGCTTTTGAAATCTTGTGATTAGATATTTGCCGTTAAATGTATTATATTACATTATTTTGCAAGTCCATTCTTTTTTCGAGTAATCGATTAGTAATGGGATAGTTAAAGGTTCCTTAAAGAAGACTTTTTATGAAATTAAATCAGGTGAAACTTTTTCACTTGAGAGGTTCTGGATAGAACATATTGACAGATGGAATCATTGTTTTTATGCAAATCCAAAATGTGTATATAGATATGTATATATATGTATATGTTATTACAATCTTCATATAATAAGTCTAAGTGTGTTGCTCTGTCAGCTTTAGGCATGTTTTAGTCTTTATACACCTGTTAAAAAGTAATCGATTACTAAATTAGTTGCTCTAAAATATATACGTCACTTCAGCTCCAAGGCTGACTGCGATATTTTCCCCTTTCAGGTGTGCAGCGTTCTAACATCAGTCTGTAAGAAGGAAGGACTGCTGCTGCCGCCTGAGCTCGCCAAGAAGATCAGCGACAAGTCGGGTCGCAACCTCCGCAGAGCGCTTTTGATGTGCGAGGCGTGCAGAGTGCAGCAGTGAGTTAGGACCCTGTCCCGATGCTGTGCTCCAATATGTAAACAAACGTATATGCTTACACAGCGTAATCTCCTGCAGGTATCCATTCTCAGCAGATCAGGAAGTACCAGAACCGGACTGGGAGGTCTACCTGAGAGAAACAGCTAATGCGGTCGTCAGCCAGCAGAGTCCTCAGAGGTATGATTTGCAGGTGTAGGTGGATATATAGCTGGGATTAAGAAGACCTGAGTCTGAAAATGAGAGGTTTTAAAGGGCCTCCATCTCTGTTTCAGGTTGCTAGAGGTACGAGCCAGGCTGTATGAGCTACTGACACACTGCATCCCTCCTGATGTCATCATAAAGGTCAAATTATGTTTAATTCCTCTTCCCTTATCACAACATTTCAAAGCAACTTTATATAATTCTCAAATAACTTTTTTTACCCCTTGCTTTCATTGAACAGGGTTTAGTGGAAGAACTGCTGAATAACTGCGATGGGCAGCTGAAAACAGAGGTGGCTCACCTGGCTGCTTATTATGAGCACAGACTCCAACTGGGCAGCAAAGCCATCTACCACCTGGAGGCGTTTATAGCCAAGTTTATGGCCATGTACAAGAAATTCATGGAGGACGGCCTGGATGCGATGATGTTCTGATGTGTTCAAGAGACTTCCTTAGATCAAATGGGACAATTTATAGCAGCTTGGGTTGATTTAGCCACTGAGCTTGTGTTAAAAAAAAACAGTTAATGTAAAAGCAGCAAGAGTAATACATCAGCTTGTTAATAATGTGCAGTCTGCCTTTTTATTAATGTTACAAAAGGTACAGCTTCAATTAACTGTATGGATGTTTAAGCTCTAATAAAAACAAAGACACATTTCTCTGGAAGTAATTTTTGCACCGCAAGTTTTCTTAAAATAGGCTCTTTTTTTCTTGAATTGAGCAGGTAAGAGACATTTTGCCAATGGAATAAGATGATTTACATTAATAATTAGACATTACTCATTTGAAATAAGACACTGCAGTTTTATTTAATGGATAGAAATACTCCATTGGCAAAATGTCTGACTTTCTCAATTAAGAGTGAATACTTATTTAAAGATAATTTTACTCATTTTTAGATCATATTAGGATAAACATCTATAATGATGTGAAAACAATGTTTGATGCCTTCACCCATATGTTGAAAACGGATATAAAACCAGCTAAGAGCAACCCACTGTTTAAGAAAGCTGTAAAAAAAAAAAAAAAATTTAAGACATAAGGGTGCAAGAAGATCAGGGTTCAAACTAAGTTACCATGAAGACAGTGAAAGTGGCAGCTTTATGTTGGGATGCTTTTCCTCAGAGACAGGAAGACTTCAGAGTTAACAGGATGGATTCATCTAACTGCTGGTAGAAAAAGTTAACCTTCCAGCGAACATGTTAGTTTAAAAGCACCTAATTATCCCCCATCTAACAAAAACTACTTTATCATCACTTTCCACATTTTTTCTTTTTTGTTTCTATATCAAAATCCTACTCATGAATAAATATTTGTCAGGGAATAATTGTTGCTTCTCTGCTTCATTTGAAAAACACTACAGATGTTATATAATAACACCATGAAACTGATGTTTTTATTTGGTGATAAAGTGAGGATTATAAGAGGGCCACTGCCCACAAAACAGAACCAAACGCTCTAATTTCACATGTTAGAATGATGTGTACCATCATGTTTCACATACTGATGGTCGTCAGTCATGTTTTTTTGTTTCTAAGAGGTGGAATTAATCTACTTCTCGTAACACTGTTTTAATATAGTTGATTACAAAGCCAATAAATAATAAAGGATGCTCTAACTTAATTGTTTATCACTAGTAGTGACCCTGGACATTCATACGGCCGTTAATGTGCAGCAGCACAGTCTTCATCTTCTCAGTAATACTCCTTTTGTCTCTTGGTGCTATAATAAATGATGAGGCCCAGCATGATCAGCACTCCTGAACCCACTAGAGACATGAAGCCTATGACAGGCCACCTGATGAGGAGGTGGCATCCTGGGCAGGGCTGCGGCAGAGCTGGACACTGCTGTGGAGGAGCTCCTGGGATAGGGAAGCCGTTGTGCTGGATGATGTTCCGATAGTTGGAGAGAGAAGCCTTGACGATGACCTCCTCGTGAACCTGACCGTAGAGGCCAAACCCCAGGTCCCTTTGGTCGTTCAGGGCGTAGGCAAAGTACCCCTTCAGGTTGACACCATCCAGAGTAAACGCTGTTAAGGAGGAGAAAGCTTTCAGTGTATTTTCCCATCAACCTGTCCATCATATTAAATTAGTTCAGGGTGTAGTGTAGAGGGTGCCATCTAGTGGCTCTTTAATTTCAGGATATTTTCTGTACTATATATTGTTTGAAATATTAGATTAATTGATATTTTGTCAAGTTACAAGCACAAATTTTGTGTTTTTGTTGGGATTTTATGTTTTCCTGACTGGAAAAGGGAAGGAAACTGGTTCCCGTGTTGCATAAATGTTTTAACAAATAAAAAGCCTAAAAGTGCATAATAAATAAAACCACTTTAATTAAAATTAGATTAGTTAACGAACTGCTTTTATCAATCATCTGATTTATGAAATTGTGTATGATTTAATCTCTGTACTGTATAAATTCAGCTGTTTCAGGGTTTTGTTGAAAACTGGTCAAGAAACAAGTTTAGGAAGAACCAGTTACAAAATCAAAAAAATCTAAAAATCACTTCATCAGGCCTACCTTTAAGTGCTTCATTAATATAGTTGTACAGATAATAAACTCGCAGGGAGTCTTTAAAACGGGCGGGGTCTTCCTCCACTCCATTAGCCATTATGTAGATGGGGACGTCTCCATAGTGCTGCTTCACCTTCAAACAGGACGAGCAGCTTTAACGATTTGGAACATCAATTGAACATTGTTCTCCTCTGAAGGCACCGCATGAAGAAAGGCCCCACAGTCTTACCCAGTTTAGAGCTTTCCTCAGGCCCCAGGGAACGACGGGCAAAGGTGACATGATCCACGTGGTGTCTATCATGCGCTGGACCTCGAGCATCTCCGTGTAGGTGTATCTGCTCACATGGAGGTCACACAGAGGTGAAACAGGCTTTTGGTTTATTGAAAGCTGAAGGTTTATGATCTGAGTGAATTCTTTGGTCAAAATATTAATAATGGGAGAACAAAAAGGTTTTAACGTACGAGTCTTCCTTAGCGTGAGTCACAAGCTCGGTGCTGAAGTGACTCATTGCAAAAAAGTCATATGTCCCCATGACCAGCTGTCGGTCCTCCTCGTTGAAAACAGGCAATCTGTGGAAATTACAAGGGATGCCATCAAGTTCAAGAAAAGTGAAAACTAATACAGGTTGTTTTTCTTCCTGTACTGTAATGTTGCCTTTAGACCATGCGTCAGTAACCTCAGGGTCATAAATGGCTCTTTAGACACTTAACAATGGCTTTTCATAACTTTAACTAAATATAAAATATAAATATATATCAAATACGTTTTAGCATTTTCTCTGCCGTCCGAATTTGAATTTCAAAAAACAGGAATACATATATATTTTGATCTTTCTAACTTTTTTTTTTTTTAATATGATTTCCCAAAAATGTCAGATATGTGGTAAATATAAGCTATTTTTTGCTTTTCTTTTTTTTAGCTGAACTGATTAAAAAAATAAATATTTTTGTTGTTTTTTTTTAATGCACAAAATAAATTGACTCCAATTATATCTATTATAATTAGATCAGAAAAAATATCTATTTTTTGGGAAAAAAAATGTTTATATATATTTTTCCAAAAACGTCAGCAACACATTAAAAATGTGTTTATTCTCTTTTTATATGTTTTTCCCTTAATTTTAGAACCTAAAATTTTTAAATCAAAGTCAATTCAAGTTTTTAAAAAAGACAAGTTAACTTTTGTTATCTTTTTCTATTATGTAAAATAAGCCATACGATGTTTTGCGGCTCTAATTGAGTTTTATCAGCCTGACTGAGGCAGAGACCTGCTTTTGACAGTAAAACTGTTTTTCTTCATAATTTTTTTCCCTTAATTTATTTTGCTTTAATTTGCTTCATAGCTTTCAGGATATTATATTAGGCAGAATACCCTTTTTCTTCACTAAAATAGTCTTTTCCATCTAGTTAAATTCCGTCACATTTGGTGAAACCTTTGGTTTTGTTTTACTTAATAAATCAATTTTCCAACTAAATAATATTAATTATATGTAGCCTATTCTAAGGCACAAAAAAAACCCATTATGTTAATATTTAACAGTTAAACAAGATAGATCATAAATGCTACTTATTGTCATAGACACTGTAATGCATTAAAATTTATTTACAGTTTCCTTTGTTTTATTTATATTAGGTTCAAGTGTATAACACTAGGATATATTATAATTTTCCATTTTTAAATTCTTCTTCTCTAGAATTGTAACCTTTTGATTCTATTCTTTTTAGAATAACAATAGAAATCAGACGCTGACAGCAGCTGGTTCATTAGTCCGCCTCACTGCTCTGCTTTGCAGCCTGCAGACATATGCACATCGCTTCCAACAGTGATTTCTAAATAGGTGGTACTTATAAACCTGGGAGTGAATTGGCACATTATCATTCTGCAGCTGAAGTAAAAAAAAAAACAAATAGGCGTTCTTTCCTTCTTACTCGAGCGAGTTGAGTTGTCGCAGCCAGCTCCTCATTCCCATCGGATAATCCCCGCTGCCAAAGATGGGCTCGGCCAACCAGCCAACGTTAAAATCTAAAACCCTTTTAGCCGGCTCCACGTCCTCACGGCTGAAGGAAAAGGCCGGCTCCACCCAGTCCATGTGAAGAGCCAGAGACACCTGTGACGAAAGGAGCCATTGTAGCACATTTGTTCCTCTTTACTTTAGAAAAAAAAGATTTTAGGGTTTTTAATTAAAATCAGTTATTCCACAGATGAGTTTTATTGACCTTTCCTCCTTGTGTGCGTCTAAACTCTCGGTCGTACACGTGCCAGGCCAACGCGTGTGCCCGCAGCATCTGGTGGCCCTCCTGATAGTTCACCATCTTATCATTGGGTTCATTCAGGGTGATCCACATCTTAACATGGGTCCCCAGTTCTCTGTAACAAAGCCTGGCATAGTCTGCAAAGGCCTCAGGAGTCTTTCTAAAAAAAAAAACAACGTTAACGAGGTGGATAACACATCTACAGGTGTATTTTAAAATTAGTCTTAACAAATGAAGAGTTTCTAGTTTTATGCAGCACAACAGGAGTCACATAAAGCCTTTTTTATTAGCATATAGTTTAGAAATTTCAGCATCAAATTCCTGTATATTTCTGGTAACATAAGATATCAACCATAACATAAACTATATTTTGATAAAAATCTGATTTTGTGACAAATGCATGCCCATTGCTCACTCTTCAAGGTTAAAGTATAGTTAGATAGATGCGCATGAGACAGTTTTTTAAAAATATCTGCAGGGCATTAAGTGAGAACATGTCTTACCGGTTGAGCCATCTGTTGGCAGTGTCCAGAGGGGGGGGCAGGCTGCTGCGTTCGTGGGTGTGGTGCCAAAGGGTGACGACCGGTGTGACGTTGGCCTGCAGCAGCTGCTGTGTGAAGCAACGGTAATATCCCAGCAGGGTGCTGTTAGGATAAGCCACGTCACCAGTAGGCACCAGAGCAGACCAGTTGAGTGAAAAGTGGAAGTGGTTTACCCCCACCTGCCAGATTTCATCCACCTGGAATAAGG